TTTATGACTTGTGGACTTCAACTCCCAGAATTCCTCAGCCAGCCTCCATTTTGTTTGTTAGATTTAAGACAGGGGTCTTCAAACGTGGCCCTTTTATGACTTGTGGACTTCAACTCCCAGAATTCCTCAGCCAGCTTGGCTGGCTGAGGAATTCTGGGAGTTGAAGTCCACAAGTCATAAAAGGGCCAATGAAGACCCCGGCTTAAGACCAGCCCTCTCCGCCGCCCCCACCGGCCGCAGCCCCGCCTACTTAGCAGGGCCGCCGCTCTTGTCAGGCAAAGGCGCCCTCCGCCTCGTGGCTCCGCCTTCGCCCCGCCTCCTGGGCCTCGCCCCGCCCCGCGGCCTGTTTTCCGCCTTCCGCCGCCAACATGGCTGCCACGGCCGCTTCTTCGGGGGCGCCTCCGGCCTCCGGTTCTTCTTCCTCCGCCGCCGCCCCGGCCGGCTCGGGGGCTTCGGGCGGGGGCGGCGGCGGGGCCTCGGGGCTGACGGCGGCGCTAACCGGCACCATGAACCGCAAGAAGAAGCCTTTCCTGGGCATGCCGGCCCCGCTGGGCTACGTGCCGGGTTTGGGCCGAGGGTGAGCCGCCGGGTTCGGGGCTGGAGGGCGTCCCTGAGCATGTGCAGAGGGCTCTCTTCCCCTCGGTTTGCATCCCAACGTCCGTTCGAGGTTGCATTCCCACGATCGGCTGAGCGTCGCGTGTTAGGCCAGCCCGGCCTGGTTTGGTTGGTTTGCTGCTCCCCCCCTGGGCCGCTTTAAGATGGGGGGACTTCAACTCCCAGAATTCCCCTCCCAGTTCCTCAATGTGGGCATTCTGGGAGTTGAAGTCCCCCCCACCCCCCCAATCTTAAAGTTGCCCAGCTGGAGAAACACGTATTTAGAATAGTGAGATTTGTCCACAAACGCACGTGTGGACTGAAGTGAACTGTGTTGGGTTTTATTTGCGTTTCAGCCTCTGTTGGATTGGGCTGTGTAATAAGATCCAGGGAAGATCTCGTGGCTGCATTTTGCACACTTTTGTGGACTTGTCTTGCTTGTTTGATCTCTGGTTTGCTTTTTGTTGTGGTGCTTTGCAGGTGTGCTTGTTTGGTTTAGTGGTTGAGGCTTTGGGCTATAATAGCAGTAGAATAGATTGTAGAATAGATTGTAGAATAGATTGTAGAATAGAATAGAATAGATTGTAGAATAGAATAGATTGTAGAATAGAATAGATTGTAGAATAGATTGTAGAATAGAATAGAATAATAGAATAGAGCTGGAAGAGACCTTGGAGGTCTTCTAGTCCAGCCCCCTGCTCAAGCAGGAGAACCTATACCATCTCAGACAGGTTAGTCTCTTCTTAAAAATCTCCAGTGATGGAGCTCCCAGGATTTCTGGTGGCAAGCTGTTCCACTGATTGATTATCCTCACTGTCAGGAAGTTTCTCCTTAATTCCAGGTTGCTTCTCTCTTTGGTCAGTTTCCATCCATTGTTTCTCGTCCTTCCCTCTGGTGCTTTGGAGAATAATTTGACCCCCCTCTTCTTTGTGGCACCCCTCAGATACTGGAACACTGCTATCGTGTCTCCCCTATTTCTTCTTTTCTTTAGACTAGCCAAACCCAAGTCCCGTAGCCGTTTTTCGTATGTTTTAGTCTCCAGTCCTTGGATCATCTTAGTTGCTCTTCTCTGAATTTTTTCCAAACTCTCAGCATCTTTTTTTGTGATATGGTGACCAAAATTGGCTGTAGTATTCCAGGTGTGGTCTTACCAGGGCTTTGTACAGCGGTGCTAATACTTTGCGTGATCTGTGTTCAGGTTCCATCTTGGCCATGAAAGCCAGCTGGGTAACCTTGAGGACCAGTCCCATTTGTCTCAGCCCAGCCCACCTCGCAGGGTTATTGTGGTGGGGAAAATACAGGTAGTCCTTGACTTACAACAGCTCATTTAGTGACCGTTCAAAGTTACAACAACACTGAAAAAAGTGGCTTATGACTAGTTTCACACTTACGACCATTGCAGTATCTCCATGGTCATGTGATCAAAATTCAAACACCTGGCAATTGTCATATTTATGACAGTTGCACTGTCCTGGGGTCATGTGATCACTCTTTGTAACTTTCCCAGCCAGCTGACAAAGTCAATGGTGAGGGGAGCCAAATTCAGTTAACAATTGCAGTGATTCGCCTAATAATAAAATTGGCCATGTCTTGCTTAACCCCCTTGATTAACAACAGAAATTGTGATCAAGGACTCCCTGTAAAGTAGCTTGAATGTAAGTCAACACTCTACAACAGTGATGGCGAACCTTTTAGAGACCGAGTACCCAAACTGCAACCCAAAACCCACTTATGCATTGTCGGGTGCCGGGTGGGTGTGGCCCATTGGGTGGGCGTGGCTGCGGTGATAATGACAGACTGGGTGGGACTAAAAAGTTCAATCAATCAATTCCAACTTTGCAAGATCTTTTTTTTCCCCGTGAGAAATTGAAATTGACTGATTGATTGAACCTTTTTTTTTTGTACATGGCGGCGGAGGCCTAAAGCAAAAACGTTTTATAAAACCCAGCTGAAGGCCTAGGACTGGGACGATGGCGCGTGTGCCCACAGAGGACTCTGAGTGCCGCCTCTGGCACCTGTGCCATAGGTTCGCCACCACTGCTCTACAAGAATGGCTAAACAATTCTCCAGGTTGTTTTATACACACACACACACAAAACTATGAAGGATTTTTGGCAACCACATGGACAAGATTGAACATGCCTTTTTCCTGAATTCCCCCCCCCAAATGTTCCACTTAAACTTCACCAAAAGAAAGTGTGTTCACACTTTTTGTTGTTGTTGTTGTTCTTGCTGATCTAGGAAAGAGGGCTCAAGTCTTAATTTTACAAACCTTTGTTGCTTGATAGCCCCAGAGACGATGATCATTACAAATCTGGGTTTAGGAAGAATTTTAGATTAAAAAAACAAAAACAAATCCTTGTCCAGCCAGATTTGAATTTTCTCTGAATCCGTTGTGTGCGTGTGTGTTTTTTTTCCTCTGTAGAGCTACTGGTTTTACCACCCGTTCAGATATTGGTCCCGCCCGGGATGCTAATGACCCTGTGGATGATCGGCATGCTCCCCCGGGGAAGAGAACGGTTGGGGATCAGATGAAGAAAAACCAGACAGCTGATGACGATGATGAAGATCTGAATGATACAAATTATGATGAGGTGATGTCATTTTGTCACACTCGTCAGTGCTGCTGATGAAGTGGTGTTATATTTGCAATATTGTTTGGTCGCTAAGTCGTGTCTGACTCTTTAGGACCCCATGGACCACAGCGTGCCAGGCTCCCCACCTGTCCTCCAGTGTCTCCCGGAGTTTGCCCAAATTCACGTTCATTGCGTTGATGACACCATCTAACCATCTCCTCCTCTGACCTCCCCTTCTCCTTTCGCCTTCCATCTTTCCCAACATCAGCGTTTTCTCCAAGGAGTCTCTCTTCTCATTAAATGGTGGCCAAAGTGTTTGAGCTTCAGCTTCAGCATCTGTCCTTCTAAAGGACACTCAGGATGGTTGTCATTTAGGATTGACTTGATTTATATTGGCAATATCATCTTGTTTTGTTCAGCTTCCGTAATTTGCTCAAGGANGGATTAGGGTTGGGTTTTTTTAAAATAACGTTCTTAATATTTAGCAAACAGCATACTGTCTGGGTTCATGTATTTAAAAAACAAGAGTTAATTTCTATATTATCATAATATGTTAGTTAATCGCTCAATAGTCTTCTTACTAGTATATATTCAGTGTTGCACAGTACATATCATGTTCCTTTCTCTCTAACTCGCTTTTCTAGCCATTGGTAAAAAATGTCCCATGTTCTAAAGCACACTGAGTCTTCTTTCTCTTTTATCTTTAATATCAATCCATCCATTTCTGCACAGTCTAATATTTTCTTAATTAGTTCTGTTGGCAAGTTTTCATTTTTCCAATATTGGGCAAGTACAATTCTCGCTGCAGTTAATACATGTAAAATTAAGTATATACAATCTTTCTCATTGTTTCCTCCTATTATGCCTAACAGAAACAGTTCTGGCGTGAAATCTATATGTTTTTTTAGTCCTTTTTTCCAACCATACGTGTACTTTTGACCAAAACCTTTTAGCTTTAGGGCATGTCCGCCAGGCACTAAGAATTTCCAAGCTAAAAGTTGAAGATGGAGAAATGGAAGAAGGGATAACTTGAATGCCGTGTAAGCAATTTTCAATTACAGGTTGTGATTGTTGCTTTGGTAGAGAAAACTGGCTGAAGTTACAGAAGAAGAATGGCTAAGTATTCCTGAAGTTGGCGATGCCAGGAACAAGCGCCAGAGGAATCCACGTTACGAAAAACTGACACCCGTTCCGGACAGTTTCTTTGCGAAGCACTTGCAGTCAGGAGAGAATCACACATCGGTGGACCCCCGGCAGACGGTGAGAATCTCCACTGGGATTTCCGGGTTTCAACGGGTTTTCTGAAAGAATGGCTTGGTGAGGGACCTCCAATTGATACCTATTTCATAGGCAAAAGGAGAGAGTACCTCGTCTTGTCTCATGTCCAAAGTTCAGGAACTAGAAAGGGGGAAATTAATAATAATAATACAACAACAACAAAGTTGGAAGGGACCTTGGAGGTCATCTAGTCACAGGGCTTTTCAACCTTTTCACCCAGTGTACCACTTTTAGGATATGGCAGTATCGGAGTACCACCAGTCACCTATCAAGGTGTCAAAAACCTGATGACCAAAAAAAGTAAAAAAGTGATAAAGTACAGGTAGTCTTCAACTTACAACAGTTCGCTTAGTGACTGTTTGAAGTTACAATGGCACTGAAAAAAGTGCCCCCCAAGCCACAGCCGAGCAAGACACCTGCCTGCCCACCGGGCGGCGCTCTTCCTCCTGTCCGAGGTTTTCATTGTTGTGAGCATTTCTGTTGAGGATTGGCAGCGGGGGTGGGGTGGGGGGGTGTTTGGTTTTTATTTCCCCCCCCCCATCTGCTGGGTGGTTGCAGCAGGTTTTGGTCACTTCAGATAACCCTGGGACGCTGTGACCGTCATAAATATGAATCAGTTGCCAAACATCTGAATGTAAATCACAAGACCCTGGAGATAAGGCAACATTCCAGCTGATTGGTGTTTCTTCTGGGCTCAGCAGAAGCGCCAGGATCAGCGCCGGGCTCCAACTGGAGCCTGGCGCTGATCCTGGCGCTTCCGCTGAGCCCTGCAGCTCCAGCTCAGGCTTGTGCGGTTCTGCCACTGGTTCAGCTCATTCTCCTCCCCCGCTACCCCTTTTTCTAGGATGGTCGCGTACCACCTGCCAGGTGCCAATGTACCACAGGTGGTACCCGTACCACTGGTTGAAAAGCCATGGACTAGAAAACCTCCAAGGTCCCTTCCAGTTCTATTCTGATTGATTGATTGATTGATTGATTGATTCCACATAGCAGCTTTTTTTTTTATGTATGGAATTTGAAATTCCTTAATGCTCTCTCTTCCCCCCCTTCTCTCTCCCCCCTCCCCGGTTTATCTTGTAGCAATTTGGCGGTCTGAATACCCCTTACCCAGGGGGCTTAAATACGCCTTACCCAGGTGGAATGACCCCAGGATTGATGACTCCTGGCACAGGGGAGCTAGATATGAGGAAGATTGGACAAGCCAGGAACACCTTGATGGATATGCGTCTCAGCCAGGTAAGGACATGAAAAGGGGGGGGGGAGACGTGAGGAATACAAGTAGTTCTCAACTTACGAACAGTCCCTAAGTCATCTTTCGAATTTACGCTGAACCCTGGAAAGGATGTGTCATGGTTCCGACAGATGTTACTCTTCAAAGAACTTCGGGGCATTGTTGACCTTAAAGAATCTTTATTCAAAATAACATGTACACGGTCGAAGCCAAAATCTGAATTCCCCTCCCCTGAACACATAGTATCAAAGCACAATTCCCTCCTCCAATTAACCGTCATAAATCACATTCTCCAAATTAGTTTAAAATGCAAACCTTCCCTCCAGTTCTATAACCCGGGGCCGTTTCTTATCATCTCTTATTTCAAACAACTTTGAAGAATACTCTACTGCCATGTTGTTATGTCTAACTAATCCCCATGCACATTCTCCCCCCTCCTCTCCCCCCATCATCATCTAATTCTAACTCTAAAAGTAACACCCAGGTTAAAGAGAAAATGGCTGCATCTTCATATATTGTCAAAGCAAGAACATCCGATGTTAGCAGCGTTGACAGGCTACTTGCGACCTGAATTTGACGTTCGCTCAGCAACCACCCCCTTCGTTCCGCAGTTAGGTGATGGCAGTGGGGGCACTTGGCAACCAGCCCACATTTGTGGTGTTTGCCATGTGCTGTGGACCCATGACCATGATTTGTAGCATTTTTATATGGTTTTCTGCCAAAAATGTCCCTAGAACACAGTGGGTTCATTTTACGACTGAGGCGTTTGCTTTATGACCACCGCGAAAAAGGTCATAAAATCAGGTGTGGTCCTGTAACCCCCTCCTCAATAACTGTCAGGACTTATAGCTGTAATTGAGGGCTCCATTAACAGTCATAAATCGAGGACTACCTGTAGCCATGTGGCTTATCAGACTGAATAAACATCAGGGTGCTACATTACAGCTTCTGAATTATTATTTTTTCTACTTGGGGTACTTGGGATAAATTTTCCTAATTTTAAAGGTCTTCTCTTTTCCTTATATCAGGGGTCTCCAGACTTCGCAACTTTAAGACTGTGGACTTCAACTCCCAGAATTCCTCAGCCCGCCATGCTTTAACATGGGTGGACTTCTATTCCCAGGATTGGGAAGTTGACATCCACCTATCTTAAAGTTTCCAACTGGGGAAAAACTTTCCTTTAGGGAATTCTTAAGCAATCAGTTGCCTAGGGCAGGGGTAGGCAACCTTGGCTCTTTTATGAGTCGTGGACTTCAACTCCCACAATTCCTGAGCCCGCCATGCTGAGGGGAAAGGGAGAGGTTTCCAAGCTGAGCCATGCTGGTTCAGGAATTCTGGGAGTTGAACTCCACAAGTCATGAAGGGGCCATAGTTCCCCCATGCTGGCTCAGGAATTCTGGGAGTTGAAGTCCACGACTCATAAAAGAGCCAAGGTTGCCTACCCCTGGCCTAGTCCATTGTTTCTCCACCTCAGCAACTTTAAGACGTGTGGACTTCAACTCCCAGAATTCCTGAGCCAGCCACGCTGAGGGAAAAGGGAGAGGTTTCCAAGCTGAGCCAGGCTGGCTGAGGAATTCTGGGAGTTGAAGTCCACGAGTCATGAAGGGGCCATAGTTCCCTCATGCTGGCTCAGGAATTCTGGGAGTTGAAGTCCACGAGTCATAAAAGGGCCAAGTTTGAAGAGCCCTATTCTATCTAGTCCAGGGGTAGGCAACCTTGGCTCTTTTATGACTCGTGGACTTCAACTCCCAGAATTCCTGAACCAGCCATGCTGAGGGAAAAGGGAGAGGTTTCCAAGCTGAGCCATGCTGGGTCAGGAATTCTGGGAGTTGAAGTCCACGAGTCATAAAAGAGCCAAGGTTGCCTACCCCTGGCCTAGGGGAAAGATCTTTTGCCCTAAAATATTGATTGAACCTCCACAGACAGAAGCAGCCTACCTGAATGCTCAGACCCTCAAGCAAAGCAAGCCTGTGAATTTTATCCCATGTTTTTGAGCAGCACAACCGCAAAGTACCTAGAACAGGGGTCTTCAAACTTGGCCACTTTAAGACTTGTGGACTTCAACTCCCAGAATTCCTCAGCCAGCCATGCTGGCTGAGGAATTCTGGGATTTGAAGTCCACAAGCCTTATTTGGAGACCTCTGGCCTTATATGATTGTTGTGAACCTCCCAGAGCTGTGGAGAATCGGGTAGCGTGCCCATTAAATAAATGAATATATGGTGACGATATTTCCGAAAGAGAAGGATAATTTGGAAAGGATTACTTAGATAGGGGCATAACATTCTTTTACCTTTTCAGTGCTTTATGGGAAAATGTGTGTAGCCATTAGCGTTTTTGACATCGGTGTGCTTGTTCGCTCACCTTAACAAGGCTTTGCTTAACCCCTCAGGTCTCCGACTCGGTGAGCGGCCAAACAGTGGTGGATCCCAAAGGGTACCTCACGGATTTAAACTCCATGATTCCCACACATGGTGGAGACATCAAGTAAGGCCCCGGGTGTGACAACGGTGCTTGTAGTTTGTGCAATCACTGCAGAAAGAATAGAAGCTTCCGAAAGTTGAAAGAGCTGCGTGAATGTAGAAGCTGCAACCTAGCCCTGAGGCTACATTTGCCAGCGTCTTCTCCGTCCCTGCACCTGGTCTGATTTTAGCGGAAGACTGATATGGTCGCGTTGTCCAAAATGGGGGTCCCGTGGGAGTGTGCAGCACTTTGGGTCTGAAGTCAGAAAGGTGGTCTGGAGTGAATGTGGTGTCCTTGGTGCTGTCTGAGCTGGGTTGTTTTCTTGCAGGTGTTTTATTACCCAGCTAGGTAACATCGTTAGCACTGATGATGCTACCTAGTTGGGTAGTGAAACCTCTGCAAGAAAAGGTCAGAGAGCACCAAGGACCCCACCGTCCTCCTCCTCCCCCCCCTCCTCTCTGCAAACCACACTTCCTTCCAGCACTGATGATGTTTCCTAGTTGGGTAATGAAATGTCTGCAAGAAAACAAAAAGGTCAGAGAGCAGTAAGGACCCCACGGTTCTCCTCCTCCTCCTCCTCCTCCTCTCCACAAACCTCACCCTCTTCTCACAGTGATGATGTTTCCTAGTTGGGTAATGAAATGTCTGCAAGAAAAGGACTCCACAGTCCTCCTCCTCCTCCTCCTCCTCTCCACAAACCTCACTCCCTTCTCACAGTGATGATGTTCCCTATTGGGTAATGAAATGTCTGCAAGAAAGCCACCAAGCTCAGAGAGCACCAAGGGACACCACAATCCTCCTCCTCTTCCTCCTCCTAAACACCTTTCTGGCACTGATTATGTTACCAAGTTGGGTAATGAAACGTCTGCAAGAAAACAGCCAAGCTCAGAGAGCACCAAGGACCCCACAATAATCCCAATCCTCCTCCTCCCCACTCCACAACCTCACTCCCTTCTCGCACTGATGATGTTCCCTAGTTGGGTAATGAAACGTAATGAAACGTCTGCAAGAGAACAACCAATCTCAGAGAGCACCAAGGACCCCACAGTCCTCNTCCTCCTCCTCCTCCTCCTCCTCCTCCTCCTCCTCCTCCTCCTCTCCACAAACCTCACTCCCTTCTCGCACTGATGATGTTCCCTATTTGGGTAATGAAAAGTCTGCAAGAAAACCACCAAGCTCAGAGAGCACCAAGGACCTCACAGTCCTCCTCCTCACTCCACTGCACTCCACAAATCTCCCTCCCTCCCAGCACTGATGATGTTCCCTAGTTAGGTGATGCGACATCTACAAGAAAACCACCCAGCTCAGAGAGCACCACAGACCCCGCCTTTCAATCCTGACCCTTCTCATGTTGACCTTCCGTGTGAAAAACGAGTCCTAGGGGAATTCTATTCTCTTGAGTCCCCGCAACACTTTTTGATAGGAATAGGGCTGGCGCTGCAGGGACTGAAGCTTTTCCCTCTTGTGTTTTCCTCTCTCCCTAGCGACATCAAGAAAGCGCGCTTGCTTCTGAAGTCCGTGCGCGAGACGAACCCTCACCACCCGCCAGCCTGGATCGCTTCGGCACGCTTGGAAGAGGTGACAGGGAAGCTGCAGGTTGCTCGAAATCTCATCATGAAAGGGACCGAAATGTGTCCGAAGGTGAGGGCTGTTGTTTTGTTCTCCTGTTTTCTTCAGTTTTGCAGAAGTTTCAATTTTATAATAATAATAAATAATAATGATAAAGTTGGAAGGGACCTTGGAGGTCATCTAGTCCAACCCCCTGCTCAGGCAGGAAACCCTACACCATTTCGGACAAACGGCTGGATTTTTCTGGATCCTTAAGACACAGGTAGTCCTCGACTAAAAAGAGCATTCGTTTAGTGACCGTCCATTGTTACAGCGGCGGTGAAAAAAAAGTGACTTTTGACCATTTTCCACACTTATGACCGTTGCAGCGTCCCCATGGCCGCGGGATCAAAATTCAGGCGCTCGGCGTCTGGTTCGTATTTATGACGGCGGCAGCGTCCCAGGGATCACGTGATCCCCTTTTGCGACCTTCTGACAAACAAAGTCAATGGGGGGAAGCCGGGTTCGTTTAACAATCGTGTTCCTGACCCAACAACTGAATAACGGGATAATAGAATAACAGAGTCGGAAGGGGTCTGAGAGGTCTTCTAGTCTGACCCTCTGCTCTGCAGCGATTCACTTTATAAGTGTGGCAAGGAAGGTTGTAAAATGGGCCAGCACTCGTTAACATCTGTCTTGCTTAACAAGGGAAATGCTGGGCTTAATAATAATAATAATAAAGTTGGAAGGGACCTTGGAGGTCATCTAGTCCAACCCCCTGCTCAGACAGGAAACCCTATACCATTTTGGACAAATGGCTGTCCAGTCTCTTCTTAAAAACTTCCAGTGTTGGCGCATTCACCGCTTCTGGAGGCAGGTTGTTCCACTGGTTAATTATTCTAACTGTCAGGAAATTTCTCCTTAGTTCCAGGTTGCTTCTCTCCTTGATCAGTTTCCATCCGTTGCTTCTTGTCCTGCCTTCAGGCGCTTTGGAGAATAGCTTGACTCCCTCTTCTTTGGGGCAGCCCCTGAGATATTGGAAGACTGCTATCATGTCCCCCCTCATCCTTCTCTTCATTAAACTAGACATACCCAATTCAGGCAACCGTTCCTTTATTAATTGTCATAAATCGACCACGCTACCTGTATTGATATTTCTTCTGTTCTTCCCACACCCTCCCTAAAGGACTTGGATCCCTTAACAAGGGGTCCCCACCCTGTGGGCCGCGGCCCGGTAGTGGGCCCTGGCCCCCGGGGCGCGGGACAGGCTGGCCAGTGCACGCACGTGTGCGTGCACATACCTCCACTTGTGCTAGCGCTGTGCCTGTGGCGCGTGAAAACGGGCCACAGCTGTGCGGTGCAAAAACAGGAAGCTGCCGCATCGTGGGGCGCGAAAAAGGGACGCTGCCATGCCACGGGGCGCGAAAACAGGACGCCGCTGTGGGGCACAAAAACGGACCACCACTACACCTTGGGGAAAAATGGGATGACGACGCTGCGCTGCGGGCGCAGAATCGGACGGCGCTATGCCGCGCAAGAACGGGGCAGGGCTAGCGAGTATCACGCAAGCGCTAGCCCCACCCCGTTTCCGTCACGTCCGTGCTCATGGCCCCTTGCGCGTGTGCACGCGTGCGCACATGTCAAATGTTCCCCCCCCTTTCCCTCTAGTCCGCCAACCGAAAAAGCTGGGTGACCTCTTGCCTTAACAAATAAGCCGCTGACTTCCTTTATTGGCTGCATTCCTCCAGAGCGAAGACGTTTGGCTGGAGGCTGCCCGCTTGCAGCCTGGAGACACCGCCAAGGCTGTGGTGGCCCAGGCGGTCCGTCACCTTCCCCAGTCGGTCCGGATTTATATCAGAGCCGCCGAGTTGGAGACGGATATCCGAGCCAAGAAGAGAGTCCTTCGGAAAGGTGAGACGGGTCCACAGAGGGAAACCTCCGTTGGTTTGAAACGGAGAGTTGGCCACCTGGCAGAGTAGGTGCTTTAAACATCTCAAAGCTTTGTGGGTTGTGCCCCAGTTTTGCCCTTTCCTGGACCAACAAACTCTGCTCATAGTCACTCGTGCTTTAGTCCAAGGCTTTTCAACCAGTGGTACGGGTACCACCTGTGGTACATTGGCACCTGGCAGGTGGTACGCGACCATCCTAGAAAAGTGGTAGCGGGGGAGGGGAATGAGCTGAACCGGTGGCAGCACCGCACAAGCCTGAGCGAGAGACGGCTGGAGCTGCAGGGTTGTCAGGGCTGAGCGGAAGCACCAGGATCAGTGCCAGGCTCCACCTGGAGCTCGGCACTGATCCTGGTGCTTCTGCTGAGCCCAGAAGAAGCGCCGATCAGCTGGAATGTTGCAGCATCTCCAGGGTCTTGTGATTTACATTCAGATGCTTGGCAACTGATTCATATTTATGACGGTCACAGTGTCCCAGGGTCATGTGAAGTGACCAAAACCTGCTGCAACTACCCAGCAGACGGGGGGAATAAAAACCAAACACCCCCCCACCCCACCCCCGCTGCCAATCCTCAACAGAAATGCTCACAACAATGAAAACCTTCCATCAGCGGGCGAGACGTCGGCGGCAGCTCAGGAGTTCTTGGCTTCCATGACGGCCTTGGACTTGACCCAGTTAATTCAGACCCCCACCCACACGGGTGGACACACACTAGATCTAGTTTTTGTCTCTGGCCAGTGGCAGAGTGATCTGACAGTAGGGGAGATAGTGGTTGAGCCCTTGTCATGGTCAGATC